ACAAGTTTTCAAAGATCATTTTTTACACGAATTATGCAAAATACCGACTCCAAAATGTACAAGTAGAAAGCACAGTTCTTAGACCACAGTACACTGAGGTTAAAGCCGATCGCTCGCCATAGGGACCGATGCAGCCTCGATCGGGAGAACACTCGGTGGTTGGTTTTTTTAATCGGAATAACGACAGATTATCGTGTTTGAGGCAATAAAATACTGATTTATAATGACCTCACAGTCTTGAAAAAAATAGGCCCCATTTCTATGTTATAGTGATTGTACTCTGTTAACAAGTTAATTTAGAGATGCTTGGGACACTTGGTATTCTTTTGTTATCTGCCAAACATGGAGTTGCTGCCATTTTCTTAAAAATTAACTGAGAGCTAAAAGTATGGTACCAAAATTCCCAGGAGACACAGGCCTTTCATACGAAACAAATATATTTGACATAGAGCTGCTTTGAAAAATTAACTTTCAGGTACCTATAGTAGGGCCTACAATGTTAACTAGTTGTTGCATTTGACGTGAAGACCTTTCTCTTTAATATTTTGTTTTGTCCATTATATTTTTCTGTTAATGAATAGTTTTCAACATTTGTGTGACACCTTGTAGTGGCTTAGCCAAAATAACTGCGAAATTTCAAGTCTGTATCTCAATTCTAAAATCCCTGTTGCAATGAAAACATGTTGCTCATCTTCGGAGCCCATTTTCTCTTTCTCGCGTTTCCGCACCTTGCATGCTTCAAAGGTCCATATTTTCGTCAAATATTGACTTATTTACTTTATTTCTTCCAAATTGTAGCGAAATGGTGATAGTTTTTTAAAAGTATGTTAACTAAATTTTGAAACTTCCTTCATATGACTGATTTTGACCGGGAGGGTCACAATATATATTATCACTAGTTGGAAAAAAAAGAGGACCGATGTAAAGGGTAATACCTTGGTCATGTTTTGCAGCCCCATCGACACAATATATATTCATGTTTATTACTTTGTTATGCACTTTACCTATATTCGTGTCCTCGTGTGCCTAGCTCTCGCAGCCAAAGAAGTGGTAAGCGATTTTTTCCAGATGATATGCGTATCCTGGAATATAGTCCATTGGGGCAAGGTAAAGATGGGACCGGAGAGGACGGATACGCTTGTGTTATTTGTTAATTTAAAACAGTCTTCTCTTATCGTACTTCTGTTATTGCACTAAAGAACGATTCCATAACTTTCACCTTAAGTCACTAAAAAACCTTTCTATGAGGGTCACAAACTATATTAATATTAATATTGTTGCATTTTAGATCACCGTGTGATATTGCACTTGTCGCTAAAATGCTGCTGATCAGCCTTCGTTAACAAAAGAACAGGAATACTTCACATACATTCCCTTTTACGCTTCCAGGATAGGGTAAAGCAGATGGGAACCAACAGTATCAACCTTTCTCGGCGTTTGGATTCATAATACCCTATAGGGAAATAGACAGCTTCTTCTGATAGGTTCCTAATAATAATTAACGGTAAGTGTTTTTGGGCTTTTTCACACCTAGCAACTACTAGTTTTTTTTTATCTTCACAAAAGTCAAAATGTAAAAACCCTGTTATCACATATTATGATATGATAAGAAAGAAATTATGTGCCGCAAAAATGTTAATCGTTACATGAAGAAAAAAAAAAATGGAACAAGTTTAAACTGAAAAAACACTTAAAATCAACAAACGTCATGTAGGTATATATAAAACAATGTAAAAGAAAGCATTGATCTAATTAGATTTAAAACTGTGTTTACTTGTATGTACAAATAAGCGTTTTATGCTACAAAACACTGTGTGGCGTGTAGGCTAGCTTTGCTCTGAAGACTGCTGCCACCTTCACTCTAGTCACAGCTTGGCTTTTTTAGTACGCCAACAGGGAAAGTATTACCATCGTTTGTAGATAATTCCGCGGAGTTGGCATTTCGTCTCTTCCTTCGGTGAGCGTTTTCAAATTGAGAATGTGTCCTCAAGTCTTAAGAAAACGTGAGTAAGGAGGACGCTATTTAACTCCATTTGGTAAGTTGACATTCAATTCTTGCACGTATGCACGAGAGTTGTCGCATACAAAGCATACTTCGTTGCTGGTATTTTTGGAACAGTTTGTTACAACTTGGAGCAGACATGTCAGACTTAATCTCTCAGGGGGACAAAGGTAAATGACACTTTAGATTGGGGCCGAACTGGATAAACATTGCGCAGTGAAAAACTAAACCTTTCTTTAAACAATAATTTACCTTGAGAACAAAATCCAGACAGAAGTAAAAAAAAAAATATAAAAATTTTTTTTAAGTATATCAAAATCAAGGCAAAATAGTTTTTGCTCTCATACTAGTTTGCCAGGGCTGGATGTTTTGGCACTTTTTCTCAGCAACTAGTTTGATAATGTTAATTGTAAGGTTCTGTGTTATGGAGATTCTCATGGATGAACAACCAAAATTACTCTGGCGAGACAGATATATAATTATTCATAGGGCCGGATGTGGCCCACTGGCCTATAGTTTGACACCTGTTTCTTGGAGGAATCTGTTGAAACGCTCAGCTGCCATTTCCTCTTCTTGCACGTCGTAATAGACCAGGCCATCCTGGGCACTGACAGCAAAATATGTCTTCCTGATGTTTGGTCCCCTTCGGTCAGCACCACTCAATAAGCGAGTTGGCCAAGGCGTCCTCTTTCTCCGGTTCTCTTTGTCCATAGGTTGATCCCAGCCTCATCTGATAGAGAATATACCACTGACAGTTCTGTCACGCTACATGCATGGTTGCTACAGGCCTATCAGAATCTCTTTTGCGAAAGCATCCTCGAGATTCTTCATTGTGATCTTTCTGGATGTTGCTTAAGAATGTCGTTCTGACACGCCTTGCTTCTGGGTAACCTCTTTTCCATCTCCTTATTCAGCAGCACAAGTGTATAAACCGGACGATTATCAAACATTTCCCGCAACACGTTTTACGACATCTTTACCTTTTCTTTCCTCTTACCACCCCGGGCCGGAGCCGGGGAGAGAGAGGGGGAGAGGGAGAGGGAGAGGGAGAGAGAGAGAGAGAGAGAGAGAGAGAGAGAGAGAGAGAGACAGAGAGACAGAGAGACAGAGACAGAGAGAGAGAGAGACAGAGACAGAGAGACAGAGAGACAGAGAGAATTGTTTGTGCTCTACAGATGATGTGGTAAGCACACGTCTTAACAAATTGGACAAAATATACAGGAAATTCTCACCGATCCCGTATGATTCGTACAATCGGGTTTTGCGTGCCTCGCAAATTTTTATGTTTGAATATATAAAGACATGATTGTTGTCACACAGGCAAGCGGAACGATCTGCTCCTTGACTGGTTTATTTGCACGTACACTGTTGGTATGTGAATGTGCTTGTGTAATTGATTAGGAGGATATTTGCTTTTACTATGTCGTGGTATTTGAACTCCCTCCCTGGTGGTTACATTTGAATTTTGTGTTTTTATATTTGATCTTGCAAGACGAAATTGTGTACAATGTCCTTGTCAATATTTCAGTTTTGTATGTTGCGTGAAACTTGATATTCTGCACGTCATGTAATTTTTCTGTGTAATGTTTGCTTTCTTTACGTACACAATGGACTTTTCCTTTTGGTTCATTTTCTTTTTTTCTGTTTTAGCCTATATTTTCTGCTCCTCACATATTATATTTACTTTCGGGTTTCTATATGTGGTATTTGAATTTCTTATGTGTGTGGCAACTTAGATTTCAATGGTTACATTTGAGATTTGCTATTGCTCAGTATGGACTTTTTATAACGTCTTTCGGGTTTTCAGATTTCCTATAAATAATTTGGTGTTTCTATGTTGCATTTGAACTTCTTATGTATGAGTTTGATTTTGAAAAAAAAAAATAGTAAAACCTAGTTCATGTGGTCGCTTTAAAGCACAAGGGGGCTATGCTGTGTTGAGAAAATCGGAGGTAAAGGTTTTGGACCCTTGTTTAATTTGTTTAAAAGACCCAGGAAAGTGTTATCTATATCCAAACAAATATACCCACCGATGAAACCAAACTTCTCATTTAGGTAGGACAATGCCCCGTTTGGGGATAGGTGAAGATTTCTGGAAACCCCCGAAATCTGGGTTAGCCCGCATGTCCTTAAAAGCGACCATACAGGACGCTACACCTCAGCGATCAGCAGTACGGTGTTACCGTTTCAGCTTGCAGGATTATTACGTTGAACACCTCGCTTCTTCTGAAAATTGTAAGTAATGATGAACGCAGCATCATAGGCAGATGTGTTATTGACTTTTTGTTCCTTCCACACGACACTCAAAAAAAATCCGTACAAAAAAAAAAGCAAAAGCAAAAACAAAAAAGTTGAAAAACTCGATTCAGTCGGAAGCCAAAAAAAAAAGACATTTAAGAGCAAGAGGGTACTTTACTTTCCATAAATGCAAAGTGGTTTAAGCTCGGTTTTTTCCCCCAACAATAAAGCACACAGGCTGATTCGCTGCGTTTTGTGCGTACTTGACCATAACGTGGATTTTCGAGGACCGGAATGAACTTAACGGGAATTTTCGTGGCTTGTTTTGGAATACTTTCTATTAGCTCACTGGCGTATGAGGAAATAAAATATTTCGCTTTTGAAGCAAACTTATCTTGGTAAGTAGGGAAGAGACAGTGTCAGACTATTCCAACCATGTCCACCGACACCCCCCCTCTTTCTGTCTCTCTCTCTCTCTCTCTCTCTCTCTCTCTCTCTCTCTCTCTCTCTCTCTCTCTCTCTCTCTCTCTCTCTCTCATTCTCTCTCTCCCATGTTCTCCTCTATCCCTCTTTCTCTCGATCTCACTCTCCCTTTCTCTTTTTCTCTTTGTCTCCATCCCTCCAAATTGAGAAGTGTCAACCAAAAATGCAACAACCCAAGTATTATTCATGATTCGTAGTTTTGACATTTCCCTTTCCATTTGCATTACCCTTCAGAAAAACAAAACAAAATAAGTTTGTACGGCTGTGGGGTACCAGGATGAGGTTCGATGACGTCATTTCTGAGTTGGGAGAGTTCGGGAGATACCAGAAGCGCCTCTACTTCCTTCTGTGTATCGTGGCGGTTCCAGACGCTATGAACACACTGGGGCCTATCTTCACACTTTTGGTACCAGACCACAGGTGAGTTCGTATGAGCCTGTTTTGTGTGTGTGTGTGTGTGTGTGTGTGTGTGTGTGTGTGTGTGTGTGTGTGTGTGAGAGAGAGAGAGAGAGAGAGAGAGAGAGAGAGAGAGCGAGAGAGAGAGAGAGAGAGAGAGAGAGAGTGAGAGAGAGGGGGGGAGAATAGAGAAAAAGTGGGGGAGGAGAGAGAGAAAGAGAAAGTGTCTGAGAGAGAGAGAAAGAAAGAGAGAGAGAGAAAGAGAGAGAGAAAGAGAGAGAGAGAGAGAGAGAGAGAGAGAGAGAGAGAGAGAGAGAGAGAGAGAGAGAGAGAGAATAAATTGCTTAGTGTGTGTTGTGTATGTGTACTCGTTGGGTTTTTAAAATTTCGTTTCGTTCCTTCTCGCGTTACCATTACTGAGCAAACAGTAAAGATTGAGCCTGACAAAGAGGGTCAATGCTGCGAGCCTCTTTATAATTCCATATGAGTGAGTCTATTGACCAGTAAATCTTTCAAGTGAGGCTATTGGACAACTGCGCTGGCCTTTATCCAGAATATGATATCCGGCCAAATAGGTTATAAACAATTCTATACACAACCTCTTTGGATCCAGCTCATACAGGAAGAAAAGGCAAACGCATCAGGCCACACATCACCGGCCCACATTGGCCGTGCCTTGATCTGACTATGGAAAGTTGACGATAAATGAATTCCAAAGATTGGAGTGCTATTGAACAGAAAACAAAGAGAGAAAGTTTAGGAGCACAAGTGGAGAATTCCAAAGAATCTTCAAAGCACAAGACCTATCGCAAACTTAAGACGTCAGTGCTTGTGGGGGGGGGGTACTTTTTTATAGCAGTCTGTGGGCTACACATGACGGGGATCGCTATCAGTTGAGATTTTTTTAAATGCTAGACCTGGTGGTGTGTATATGTAGTGTTGTAATTTTTCGTGTACTTGTTTTTACACCCCCTCGAAACCATTTAGATAAATTACGAGACGGGTTTCCGATCCTACCTGTCAAGGCCAACCCGGGATGAAAGGAATACAACATCCCAGCAGAGAGACTGAGATATGCAGTGAAACTTCTCCCCACTCGGGAATAGAAGTTGGGTATCCTGCGTGTGACAGAGATGTACCTAACCACTACACCACAGACACGGTTGTATTGCTCTGACAATGCACAGCATAGATTTCAGTTTGTAATTACACACTTAATTGTCTACACTTTACCTTGAAAAGTGACCCGGAAATGAATATGTCCATTTTCTGTTCATCGTGGCGCTATAGTCTTTTGTGTTTCTAGCATGGCATCACTCTTTTCCTTTTCTTTTTTAAAGGTCTTTATTCAAATCTGTGTACCCCCCGGGGCGGTGCTACTGGCTGAAGTGTCTTTAGGCCATTCCAAAAGGGGAACATTAATCATGTTCTTAAGTACAGTAAAATTGTAATTGTAAATGGGCTGTTTCATCAATGTCATGCTCATAACTGTGCCTGAACTGCAAGAGGGAACTGCTGCTTTTTCTTTCCTAACCCTTACTATCATCATTTTTCCTCTACTTCTTTTGTATGTTTGTCACACTCTTGTGTCCCGCTTTTTGCAGGATGCCTTGATAGTCGAAGCAGACTTTGTGCTATTGAAGCTAGAGAGGTAAGCAGAGTAAGCCTGACTCCCTGTAAGGACCTCTCTGTTGACATCCACCCCTGGGCGCTCATATGACCTTATGCAGCTGCTAGCGCCGTAAAACCTCTTCTAAAACAAAACAAAAATCTGTATTTATCATATGTGTTTACTCATATGTCATACTTGCGGGCTGGTGTTTCTTATTTCGTGCTTCTTGCAATGTAGACCGAGCTATTTAAAGACGTATATTATTAGTATGGTCAACACCCGAGAGACACGAGTTCTAACCCAAGTTTGCCACACACTGGTTCTCATCTTTTAAAATGTCCTACACCGCGCCTACTGTGCTGTTAAACTTCAATTACAAACGTTTTTCGGTCAATTTGCAGTATTGGATCCGTCTCACTAAAAGCAATAAATCAGTGACTGTTTCTATGTGTAATCTGATCTAATCTGAATATCTACATCATCTCAAATCAACTAAATAATTTGTATGGTCAAATTCGTCCAAATTACGCCAAAAACATGGAAAAGTCTGTGATAAAGTGACGATCAAATCTGTAATAATTACAATGAATAGAGGGACATAACTCTTCTAAGTAGTAACCTATTGATTATCGTGATAGTGTCCCCTTTTGCCTCTTGTCTGTTGTGTAACTCTTCTGAATATAAAGGTCAGTTCCAGTGTACCTTTGATGGCTGCCTCCCTGTCTTCAATTAGAGCTGTGTGCTTGAAATAGATAATCAAAGTCAATCTAATACATTTTGGTGATGAGCAGGACCCACGAGCTAAATCTTTAGAGCTCCAGTCCTTCAAGAAACCCAAAGGCTAAGTATTTTCTAGACATGGCTTTGTACGACCAGATCAAAGAGTATAATCCGCCGATGAAACAATCCAAGATTACTTAGATAGACTGACATTCTATTTAAAGGCTAATGATGTTGCAGCAAATGAAAAGAAGAGAGCTATTTTGCTTGCAGCCATAGGCCCACATCAGTTCCGTTTGCTTAAGGACTTTACTGCCCCTAGTACCCCCTCAACAAAAACGTTTGATGAGCTATGCACGCTCCTGAAAAACCATGATTCACTCCCTCCTCCTAAGTTCTTACAACGTGCAAAATGTGACACTAGGAACAGGCATGACAATGAAACCATTGCTTAATATGTGGCTGCATTAAGACACTTAGGTGAACACTGCAAGTTTGGCGAATCTATCAACGTCAGAATAAGTGAACGGTTTGTTACTGGCGTCCACAATACTGACATCCAGAGGAAGTCGCTCCTCGATCCCTAGTTAACTCAAGACAAAGCCATCCATTTCGCAACGCCAATCCAACAAACAGCTAAAGCTGCCAGAGCACAAGCTCCCACAGCCTCGGTGAATTCTTTACAAAGCAACAGCAGACTAGGTTCTAAACCTAGCAAAACCACGTCACACAACCTAAGAGCGTCTAATGCAACTTCGCGTCAAGCACAGCAATCAGGATCTAAATCTAACAGTTCCATAGGTGTCTTGGCCCTCACCATCCTCATCAGTGTAAGTTTAAGACATCAGAATGCTACAAGTGTGACAAACAGGGACACATTGCTAAAGCTTGCAGGTCCAAACTTAACCCACCCATTGTGCAGAAGTACAACAGAGATCAATGTAGACAACCACTTCCACAGAGAAACCACTACGTCGACAACTTACTGGAACAATGTAAGTCCGAGGTGAAGCCTATCTTCCATTTATTCACCATATCTGAGAAGTCACCTTTGTCTCCAATCAATCTCCCATTTTCAGTCAATAGCCAGAATGTGAACTTTCAGTTGGACACTTGTGCTGCACTGACTGTTATCACACATGCTGACTTAAACCGTCTCATTCCAGGAATCAAGTTTCAACCGTCATCAAAACAGTCACAAACATATACAGGTGACACTGTTCCAATTGTTGGGGAGTGTACTGAATCACAATGATGAAAGTTTGAAACTTCCACTCATAGTGGTAAAGGGAGAGAGACCTCTTTTGCTGGGAAGAAATTGGCTTTCAACATTAAAACTTAACTGGCAGTCACTTTTTGCGCTAAACAGATTAGACACAGAAACTTCTGCTGTAGATCTAGGAAAAGTACTGTCAGAAAACCAGAGTGCTTTTGAAGGAATAGGCTTACTACAAGACAGAACTGTCAAAATCACCCTTAGGGATGAAAAGCCTAAATACTGCAAAGCCAGAGTGCTGCCTTACGCAATGCGCGAGAAGATAGAAAAAGAAGTTAAAAAGTAAGAGTCTATGGCATTGTAAAAAAGGTTGAAAGTTCAGAGTGGGCTACTCCTTTAGTGCCCGTGCCCAAAAAAGACGGCACAGTCAGAATTTGCGTTGACTACAAGACCATTGTAAACCAGCAAATTGAACAAAATAGATACCCTCTTCCCAGCATTGAGGAAATCGCTATCAAACTAGCAGGTAGTGAAAAGTTCATTCAACTGGATTTCTCTCTAGCATACCCTAAGTTGGAACTTCATGCTTATTCTAAACAGTACTCTACCATAAACACCCACAAGGGTCTCTATCAATACGAAAGACTCTGTTTCGGAATCTCCTCAAGTCCATGAATATTACAGGCTGTCATGGACAGTATTTTCCATGAAGTTCCAAATGTGCGTGAGTGCTCTGACAACTTGTACATTACAGGTAAACACAATACTGAGCAGCTCCAAATTCTCAATAGAGCTTTGAAAAGAGCTTGAAAATCAACAAAGAAACGTGTCAATTCATGCTTGACGAGATTAAATTCTTGGGGTATGGATTGCGCAGGGAGGGTCTCAGACCTCAGACTGAATAAACTAAAGCCATTAAATAGACACCCAAAACAGAAAATGCGCAACCCCTCAGAGTCTTCTTTGGCGTAATATATTACAATGGAAACCTCCTAGGGAATTTGATAAACACTCTATCCCATCTGTACAAGCTCCTGGAGAAAGATGTGCCTTGGCACCTGCGTAAAGAGCAAAATGAGTCTTTCAAGACAGCTAAAGACATTCTGTTGCCTGAGATACTGTTGATTCATTATGACCTAGGGAAAACTTTGATCTTGATTTGTTATGCTTCTTCTAATGGAGTTGGCACAGTATTAGCACACCAAAAAGAACATGGTGAAGGGCCCATTACTTTTGCCAGCAGATCACTAAATAAAGCTGAGAAGAATTATTTTCAATTGGGCAAGGAAGGTACTTTTCAGCAGAATGCTGTAGGCCTATGTGTTTCATGTTTATCACGCACAGTAAATATGTGCTTTAGTGTTTCATATTACTTTGCATTATGAATTTAAATTTTGTGTAGCATAATTTGAAGACTTACCAGAGTTGGAATGATAATCTTAAAAATACTTAACCGCTCATTGTTTTCCAATCAGGTCTTGCGTCATAGACATCGATATTTTCATGTTTAGTCAGTTTTAATTGGGAACTCTCGTGCTCCTTGTGAACAATAACTGAGGGTGACGATAGAAGGTTGTAGTAAAGTAACGATCAACCTGTAATAATATTACTGAATAGAGGGACATAACTCTTCCAAGTAGTAACTTTATCATGATGTTGTCCCCTTTGGCCCCCTGTCTATTGTGTAACTCTTATGAATAAAGACCATTTCCGGTGTACCCTTGATACTTCCGGTGTACTCCATATCTTCAATTAGAGCTGTGTGTTTGTTATAGACAATCAAAGTCAATCTATTACAAAGTCACTGAGTTATAATAGGCTACCAAGGGACAAACACCCCCTAAATCCCCCACCCCCATTTTGAAGCATATACATGTATTTTTATAATATCATGGGGTCAAGCCCCCTGAACCCCCTCCCCCATTTTTTTCTTACCATACTCGCGTAGCTCCTCCTTGATACACCAAGAGCACGTGAATAAGTACGCAAAGTACATAAAAATAAACAAAATACACAGGTGTCATCATCGTAAAAGCAACGTCTGAGATGGTTTTGAAGGTAATATTTCTTAATAACGCACCCTAAAACTGTTTACAGCATCAGTTCAACAGTCAACAGCAGACAGGTCTAATAAGGTCTACTTCATAAATACCCTTTTTTTTACCCCAGGTGTGCTGTTCCCGGACTGGACAACGACACGTACCAAAGCCAAGGCTCCTGGCATGACGACCTCGTCAACCGCAGCATCCCGTGGTCCGACAGTGACGAGGCCTATTCCAAGTGTCGACTCTACAAAACTGATGACCACTTGACCAACGAAACCAGGAAATGTGACCGCTGGGTGTACGAGAAAGATCCATTCCGGGAAACTTTCGTCACTGATGTACGAACAAAAATACCCTTCGTAAACAATTTTCTCTTTATAATTCCCAAAATATTGCTGATGATCCTTTTTTCCCTTCATGTTACATGCCTCGATTCTTTCAGAAGTTGTACATAATAATCAACGAAGCATCGTAGGTGAAATAGAATAAATAGGTTTCATAGAACTTATTGTCAGTCAATCAATCAACCAGTCAGTGTGTTTAATTTAAGTACGTGATTCATCTTAACATTACCACAAGAAAACAAGGATGGACACAAAGTACGACACACACAAGCACACTCATAAATTCTTTCTTTATGCTTTTTCATTCAAGCACACAGTAGCTGTAGTAAATAACTTTAAGAGTATCGTAAAGGCTTCTCACAAGCGATGGTAGATATTCTTCCGCCATAAGCTAGCAGCTCTCACCTTAAGAAATATTTTAAATGGCCATGTGACTTTCTTAAATTCTGATTATAAGTAACAATCTCTTGTGTGACCTTCAAGCACACGATAGTTCGTAAGTCCGTGTCAAGACGTTGCCAACTCTGCAGTCTTGTCCAGCGGTAAGAGGCCTAATTTGTAATTTAAATAATTGAGCGTCCGATTCCCGCTACAGTTAGTTTAAGCCGTTGTATTCTTGGGAAAGATGTATACTTTATTCTGCTTTAGTCAGTTCAACAAGCAGCTGCATGACAAATAATTTCAAGCAAACACCTGTCACAAACAACATTTTCTTTTTAATTTCACTTTTACCGCACTTATTCTCAGAATTTAAGTCATCTATGTAAAGCGTTTAGAGAGCATACTCAACCATGTTTGGGATAGAGCGCTGTATAAATGAAATATTGTTATCATCATCATCATCATCATCATCATCATCATCATCATCATCATCATCATCATCATCATCATCATCATCATCATCATCTTCATCACCATCACCTTCATCGTCGTCGTCGTCGTCGTCGTTGTCGTCATTACTATTTTCACTATTATTTTTATCATCAATATTATTATTTTTATTATTATTATTATTATCATTGTTGTTATTATTATTATGTTGTATTATTGTTGTTGTTGTTGTTGATATTATTGTTATTATTGTTATTGTTGTCTGTCCCCATAACTTAAAATTATGATTCAAAGTCAACTTTGTCACCATGTTTTTATCTTCCTATTCTCCTCAGGCCCATCCTTTCATTTTTCATGCTTGTACTAATATTATACCCTTCTTCATTGCTGCTTTCACATGCGCCACCTCTCTCTCTCTCTCTCTCTCTCTCTCTCTCTCTCTCTCTCTCTCTCTCTCTCTCTCTCTCTCTCTCTCTCTCTCTCTCTCTCTCTCTCTCATCATCAGCAGCAGCAGCAGCAGCAGCAGCAGCAGCAGCAGCAGCAGCAGCCGCATCATCATCATCACCACATCATCATCATCTAAACACGGGCTCTGATGTGATTTCGCTACTTCTTTCCTATCAAACATATAACGCTTTTATCCCCCCCCCCCCACCCCCACCTTTTTTGCGTGTTTCATCCTCTTGCAACGCCGGTTATCTTCAACATGTATGGCTTAACTGAGCCATAAGTGCCGCAAAACTCTTACTAAAACAAAAATCAAACACTGTCTCTTTCCCATGTTTCTCCCAGGAAGACCTGGTGTGCGACAGGTTCTCTCTGAGGACGTACTCCAACATGATACAGATGTCGGGAGTTTTGGTCGGTGCTCTGGTCCTGGCGCCGCTCTCAGACATGTAAGGCTCAGAATTTTAAAAACATTGTGCCATTACATAAGCACTATATATAGATTTAACGCCCCTTTCCTTCGTACACATAACACGGAACTCAAGTCGCTATGTACACAAACTGAATTCTTTTTGCGCTCGTTTTGACAACCACGACTTCTCCGACCAGCTGACAACTGTCAAAGAGACGATTCAAAATGACCGCACAGACCGTGCCAAGAGGGGCGTAGAGGATGCCATTCTCGTGTTCTTAGATAACATCTACAAACACATAGACACACCAAGAAAGTACTGCAGAATACTTTTTGCTGGTTTTTCGTTCGCATTCAACACAATCCAACCCCACATAATGGTTTCAAAATGATTTAACATGAACATAAACAAGTACATTATAACTTGAATTCTTGAATTCTTAACCAATCGACCTCAATATGTAAAATTAAATGGTGTAAAATCCGACCTAATATTCACGAGCACCCGTGCGCCCCCAAGGTTGCGTAATCTTCCCTGTCTTGTTTACGCTCTACACCCACGACTGTACTTTTGATAACAAAAAATTCAAACTAATAAACATTTGCGGATGATTCCACTCTACAAGGCCTTATGATAACAAATGAGAATGAATACAGGGACGCTCTAAATGTATTTACAAATTAAGGTGATAACCACTTCCTTTTACTAAATGTAAAAATGACAAAGGAATTAGTAATAGATTTTAGAGTTTAAAAAAGACCAATTGCAACCACTATTTATTAAAGATGAAGAGGTGAAAGTGGTAAGCTCTTACTACAAGTTTCTTGGTGTGACGATCGATAACAATCTTGACTGGCATCCCCACGCTGCTCTTGTGTATAAAAAGGTAAATCAAAGAATGTTTCTTTTACGGAAATTAAGAAGTGTCCGTGTTGATAATAAGAGTATGTCTCTGTTATACCATTCTATGATTGAAAGTGTGCTATTATTTTGTATTTGCTGCTGGGGTGGGAATTGTAAGGTGAAAGTTAAAGAAAAATGTGACAGAACCATTAAGAAAGCCAGAAAGATCTCTGGATATGATTTTACTAGAATTGATTAAATGTATAACACCATACTTATTAAAAAAGATCAAAAGCATTATAAACGACCCATCACATCCCCTTTCCACGCAAATTCTAAGATCACGCAGCGGTAGATAATAATATGTACCTCCAAAAACAAAGAAAGAAAGATATAAAAGAAGTTTTTTTTACCATCTAACAAGGCTTTCGTCAGAATGAGCATATATGTGTGTTGCTCTTTAGAGTATGTATCTATTTACTGATATAACTCCAAAGGTCTTGTAATTCCTGCATGTGGTTGAATGATGCATCTGATGTGAATGTAAATTTTGTCAGCTTTACTTCTCTTTTCATATTGAATTTCAATAAGAGTAATATATAATCTACAATTTTCTATGTATACCTGCATGTGTTTTTACGATCTTGTACAACCAAGAAAAATTTCCCTCTCGGATAATAAAGTATTATCTTATTTTATCGTATCTCTTTCAACACTGTAAGGTTAATTAAGAGACCGAGGCACCTTTTTTCTGTCCTTCATCGATAGGCTGGAATCTTTACGTAAAGGGGTTTTTCTTTTCTGTTCTCCTTAAAATCAGAAACAGGTTGTACGCCCTAAAAGGTAGGGTAGTTATACTGTGGATGTTTGTTTTAGATTGGTTTGTTATTGTTTCTTTGTTATTTAGGGTGAGATTTTTCGAGGGTGGGGGTGGTTGGGGGAAAGGAATGATGTTGTGTTTTGGTTGTTGGTTGTTGATAGTTGGGTTTTTTATGG